CCTAATACCGCTCAGTCGCGGTCTATCCAAGATGAGATTGAGGATCTGGAAAGGCGTCTGCATGAGGCAAAGGCCCGCTTGAATACTACCAATGGCACCAGCATCGATGCAACCTCAACCTCTCCATCAAAGCTTCTTCCAAGTGCAGGTATAGCTCATCTTTCCTTCTCACCTTCTCTTAAGCCCTTATAGCCTCTAATAACAAAAGCAGGGCCGTTAACAACCTCCCCTCACCACTTTCTCTTCCTCCTCTCTGACTCCGCGCTCCCCCTTGGTTCCTTCGCCTTCAGCAGCGGCCTTGAGTCCTATCTCGCGCACACTTCCCCTGCCTCAATCTCCATCCCGCATTTCCTATCCCTCTCCCTCTCCTCCTACGCATCTACCACCCTCCCCTTCGTGCTCGCCGCGTACCGGAATCCTACTACCATCATAGACCTGGATGACATGCAGGATGCAGCGATTATGTGCACCGTCGGTCGGCGGGCCTCTGTTGCGCAGGGGCGTGCGCTGCTAAGTATCTGGGAACGCTCGTTTAGTTCTGCTATCTCAAATGGAAATTCAAGGGAGCTAGAGGGGCTGAGAAGCTTTTCTACGGTCCTACGTTCTGTGTCCTCGTCTACGCCAGGTGATGTTCCCCCCGCATCTGCGCACTTGGGACCGCTCTTCGGCGCAATCGCTAGCATTGTGGGGATGAGCATACAACAGACCGCATACGTCTTCATGCTAGCGCATGTAAAAGCATTGATTTCCGCTGCCGTCAGAGCGGGACGGTTCGGACCATATCATGCGCAGAAGGTGTTGGCCAGTGTGGATGTACAGGATGGAATTAGGGAGGTAGTGGAACGGGAGTGGGAGACACGGATTGAGGATGCGGGACAGAGTGTGCCAGTGATAGATCTTTGGATTGGGAGGCATGAGATGCTGTATTCCAGGATCTTTAATAGTTAATATAAACTTGCGACTAAGGACCGCTACGCTGTGTTCGATTCTTGAGACTTTAGGCACACACTTGTTACGTTTGAAAGCTGTGGAAAAATAATATGAACTCTCAATGTATACCTGTAAAACATTAAGACGGGCAATCAATTTTGGACATTGTCAGAGCTCTCTCTGAATTGTGCGGGTTGATTCTCCGTGCAAAATTTATACACCCTGATTTCCACATGCTCCACGACGCCCGTATTAAATGCAATCCTCCTAATCACTATCGCTATCATACGCCACTAGTGGGCCTGATTTGACAGCTGCTTTTGGTTTCGCAATGACTGAGCTTTGAGCATTCCTCAAAGCCACCAATGTGCTACTTGAGAAGATGCCATTCTCCTCCGCCTCGGCCTGCTCTTGTTGGTCTGCCTCAATCATCAATCTCTGCTCCTCCTCCAGCTCTAACCCTTGTCTTCCAATTGGATTGACTGCATTTGCGCCCCTTGCGAAATATACATCATCAGGAGCCTCGTAGCCTGCTAAACCAAAGCCTCCCTCTATCCTCTTTCGTTTCCTGGCTTCTGGATCACGACCTTCGATTTCGGCTACAAATTCTTCGGGAAGCGCTCGCCGAACAGCTTCCGCAGCTTGTTCTTCAATTCTCCGTGCCTCTCGCTTTTGCGCTAGTGGGTTGGGATCTGCTGTCGCCCATCGAACATTCAGGATCTCATTGTGGTCTAATGATTGATGTGCCATCGCTTCCTTCGCAAATTGTGCATTTGCTTCATTTGAATATGTGACGAATGCAACACCTCGAGTGTTGAGAACACGAGCTTTGAAAGTGTCAATCGGGATTCAACGTACATGATGAAAGATTACTTACTCCGCTCAATTTGACCCCATTCGGCGAAATGTCTCGCCACTACTTCCTCAATATCGTCTGTAACATGTATCCTGCCGACATAGATAGTGCGATTCTGTCTCATGAAACTGCCCACACCTCCCATATCATCTCTGTAGTCCGCATGCTTATCTCGTCCAAAGACATCTATATTTGGGTTGAACATGTCGTGGATGCCTGGTAATCTGTGCAGGTACTCGCATTCTTGTCCCTTGGGACATATGCCACGAGCGAAGAATAAACAAAAATAGCTTCCATTGATCTTGTCGGCTTTCGTGTATCCAGAATCCCTCACAATGTTGCATCTACCTGCAGCAGCTGTCTTCGAAAGATATTTGTCTTCCCGATCGCCACCAGACCATTTGTTATACCAGATATTGAAGATTGTACCTGTTTGAGGAGGGGGCTCAGATTTCATTGTCGAGGGGTCTACTTGAGGTCGCGCAGGACGCTTTTTTTTCCTGATGATTTTCTTCACCTTCCTCTCGGCCGGCGCAGCCACTTCATTGTTGATCGTGGCGAGAGAATTTGAGCCACTCTCTGCTTCGTCAGGAAGTGCGAACGTAGAAGGTGTTGCTGTTTCGACCTCAGCCATTTTGGTAGTTGTCGCAAAGAAAGTTGGTGGTTCAGAAAAGTTAAGGTAATTGAGGCAAGGCTGAGAAACAGCACAACCTCGCATTCCCCTCGATGTGGCTTAGCGTTAGACTAATGCAAGTGCATCTTGTGGAACCAGATTCACTCATTGGAACCTACCTTGTTATTCTGGAGACTTAAATGGGTTTTGATGTAGCTTGTGCCCATTTTTGGAGAAGACTCCAGATTCATATGCTAGTCCTACAGGTGATCCTTTCTTGGAGACTGGTTGAAATGAACTCTGTATCGTCGATTTAGTGATGGATCAGAGTGTAGGTATGCCGTTGGGCAAAAATATGTTAAGAAGCACTTTTCTCTTAGACTACTCATTTGGTTGCTTCTATCCTTTAAAGTCGTCACAAAAAGGGTGTGGTCGGAAGTCCCTGTCTGGATTGCGAGACTAGTTGCAATATGTCACAAGCCAGAGTACATTCAACGTCAGATTACTGAACTCAGAAGTAAATGCTTTAGCAAGAGACAGCTCATTTAACGTTCCAGGGTAAAGGCTGTTTAATATGAAAATCTTGTACACGAATATTATGTAAGAGCCCTTGACATGTTGAGGCTGGCCCTATGTTCCGTCTCAAAAGTTTTATAGGCTTCGTGGGTTCTACCGTTTGAACAGTCCTTCTCACTCGAGACCCTTATTCAACCAAAACCATTAATACCTATTCGATCCTCTGTCTCCAAACCTTGCCTTGGTCATGTGCTAGCAGTATCTGCTAGAAGTCCACTTTGCTCATCTTGACACGTGCTGGCTCATTGCCACCATGAAAGTCATCTGATCGCAAGTCCTGGTTCCTTCCGCTTTCTAGATAAGAACGGCTTTGGAACTCGCGAAATTGCAAACCGCCCTTAGCGATTGCTTGCCATACTTGAGTGTTTTGAGGGCAGGATCTCATCGATACTACATGTTGATTCCTCTCTATCCAACAAGATACCAAGATTGGCTGTTCTCTGCGTGCAATATGATAGCTAGAAGAGCCCAAGCGTTTGAGAATCCTATCTAGCGTTTCGAAATCATTGGTGCAGAAGACTGTTCCTCCTCGAGTCTTCAAGTCCACCTTGGCGACTGAGCAGTATATGAGACAGTCTTATTCGGTCATCACCTAACCTATTTGGCGCAAACCTCAGAGGTGGATCTTCTCGAGAATTGAGTCGGGAAGACATATGCCTAAAATGAGGAGAGGGAGGAAAGCAATAACATAGGCAAGGTCTTTGGGGGCGATACGTCTCCACATAGCTTGGGATATTCTCTGAATGAGTAACGGGTATGTCTTAAGAGTGAGAGAGAAAAGGAGAAGTATCTTTATATAATGGGGCCTAGCTTCTAAGCGACGCCGAGTTTCAACGCCCGGACTCTGCCCGAGTTGTTTGATGGCCGGTCCTATCAATACGATCAGCTTCTGGCTCGTGGTGCTCACACGGCAGGACGGATATTTCAAGTCGAATATCATTCATCCATATCAAATATCCGCCGCCACAAATAGAAGGTCCAGAATATCAGTACAAGGTTGAATTATGTTGCTGCAGATTGGTTCTCCACCCGAGGCTGACAGCTGACGTGCTGCGGCCCGTTCGAAGGGTTGCATGAGATGTAGCTTTGCGGCCCGAAAAGAAAGTTGCTGCAGAATTGGAATACTCATAGATTAGGTCTATGCACGTACCTTAATCGTGTCAAATGCACTTATTTACTACGATAGCCGGGTCTTTCGAGTTGAAATCTCCAGAAAAGATGAATACATACTCTGCTCAGAACAGTAGACTCTGACTCTTGGACCACTAATCAATCATCTCTTAGCTTTTAAAGTTTTAAGACATTGAAATAGGCCTTCCGACCTAAATTTCAGGGGTGCGTGTGAATCCTGAAAGTGACTGACATATCTTGCCTTGTACAAGTCATTTGCATATCTGGGTTCGTTATCGGCCAGGTGACTCGACTTCTTGCCAATAAGAACCAGACTTCTTAAACATGTACCACTTACCTGGTCCGCGGACGCATCATCCATGAGCTAGACGAGATCTATCCAAATTGAAGACATCATTTGGCTAAATGTTGGTATGAAATCTACGGAAATAGTAACAAAATTGAGAGATAAATAATATGAGCGATTCAAGTACATTGCAAATAAATTTGGTGACTTGACACCTTCAGCTCCGATTAAACGATACTAACAAGACTTTACCAATTGTTCAAGACACTATTCCTGCCCGTAGAAACTTGATCGGATCCTGAAACTATAGCGAGCAGTATGATTTGTTTTCAGTGTGCTAGAGGGTTGTCATACATAAACGGCCTACTATCACCAAAATAACGTTGCCTTAGCTCGACTCTGATTCTCGATTCTCCACTCGTACATAACCCACAAAGACCAAAAAAGGGGGTTGTTTCCCATCCAAAAACTATTTGATCTAGGTTCCATCTGCTGAGGCACGCAAAGAGTCACATAAAAAATGGCAAAAATGTAAGAGAGCAACTGCTCACTGCGGAGGGAATTGAGCCCAACGCGGGGGTCTATCAATTATTAGCTTGCAGCTTATGGGAGTGAGGCAAGATCTACTCACCGAACCCGCAACCTTGAGATTAAGAGTCTCACGCTCTACCGATTGAGCTAGCCGGGCAGAGAGGTTGCTAGATGGTTGAGTCACGGTTTGCATAATGTATAATATATAAGCTTTCCCCCTCTGTGTGCTTAACGGTTAAGCGAGCTGGACCAGGGAATTAAATGGGTCCATAAAAGCTGCGATGGTTAAATATAAAATTATGTTGCTTATGCGATCTACAACCGTTCTTCCACGCATAGATAGTTTTGAAACTTCGCCGGGCCACTCTCGGAATGCAAACTTCAATGGGACACTTGGAGTTTGTTTTTCGATGGGAGAGTTTCACTATGTGCTTTCAATTAGGGGCTTGGACGGGGAGCCGTGCCTCTTCCTTCGTGGATATGTCGCTTCCCGTCAAAGAATGTGCGATAAAGTTCTGGATGAGGAGAATCTGATCAGTGTCTCAGCATTGACATCACTCTGGGTATTTCGATTCAACTATCTGTGGATATCATAGCAGATGCCTCTAGCTGCCCATCTTCATTACACCTTTCCCAAATAATAATATAAGGTTCTATCAAGATTCCTGAACTCCCTGCAATGCATTGAACTCCTTCCATGCACATAAACAAGAAAAAACTACTGAAAATTAGGTAGACCTCTACCACACCATGAGAAGCATTCCTAGGCCAGAAGCAATCAATGCAATTAGGGACGGCGATGTAGATCTATCCGCTCCACTAGCCGTACTAAGCTCTCCGCCAATTCCTGCTATCCCACTGCTAGAGGAAGAAGCCACTCCAATTCCAATTGTAGCAGTAACGCTATTCTCGACCAGGGTGGCATCAGGAACCGAATCTGCTCCAGTTCCAATCTCGATAATATTCGACGCTGTGGAGTTGAATTTGGTCTGTGCTATCGAGATCTCGTTATTGGCCAGGTCATACACCAGGTACGAAGATCGAATGAAGGTGTCGCCTAGCACAGCAGCCATAGATCCTGCAGGTGCGATTCCAAATAGGCAAGCGGCTGTTCCGTCCGTGAATGTGAGTTGCCTGCCAGTCGTAGCCGTGACCGTAATCACTAGCTCATTCATTGGGACTTGGATGGTAGGCTCCGAAAACGTGAAGTCTAGAGTAGCATTGCTACTGGCCAGGGTGCATGGAACGAATGCCACGCCCTCCTCTTCAAAGTATTGAGCGTCGACCATCTGGTAGGTTGCTTCTGCTATCGTATCTGGAAGATAGGTAAGAGAGCTACCTGAGTCTAGGAGAACAGCCTGTTTTAGGTTCTGAGCAATAGTAGTCCCATCGAGAGCGAGCCCTGTCAATGTAATGAAGAACTCCCCAAAAACACTTCTGTCACCTTTTTGTACTGGAAGTGTTCGCAGTGACCCAACATATTTAGCAGTATCAACACCACCAAAAAGGATATTTCCTGTACTTGCATCGAGGTCATTCAACCAAAGGCTGTATGCATTCGACTGGATTAGTCCTTCTGAAACCAACTTGGCGGGTAGATTGTCGTATGGGGACTTCCCAGCCCGTCCAACTTGAACCTCATTAATTGCATAACCAATTCCTAAAACCCCCTCAATTGAGGTGCTTTCGTAGCCGACCCCAAATTGCAAGCTACTCAAGGACGTTGTTCCAATAGAAAAAGCATCTGTAACATAATCTCCTGAAGCGCCACTCCCATCTACATATGTGATATTGAAGTCGCCTGAAACATATGAGTATGTGGACGATGCATTTGCTGAATACGAGCCAGAAGAATCACAGGGCCCGCCTTCCGATAGGCAGACTTCAGATTTGGGTGTATTTACCCACAGATCGCTGCTTCCAGTATCTATGTGTAGACGAACACTTTGGGGGGGCGTCCCTACAGACACGTTGGCGAAGTATAACGTTTCCTACAACAATCAATTTATATTTCATATATCAAGGATTATAATACTTACTAGATTGTCTAGTGTTGCTGATACTGTCCCTCTCCGCCGTATTCGATCCCTCGCTACTGGATCTGGATGAGACCGTCGTTGTACCGGAAGTCCTACCACCTTTGGTCGTCCGTCCGACTTTTGCTGTAATGATAATGCATTTGTAGATGATAAAAATATGCCTGCCGCAATGGCCAAGGTTGAGTAAAACCTCATGGCTAATCGCTTCTTCCGTGAGAACCACTTCCCCTCCGAGTACGAGACGTTGGGTATAGGAATATAGGAGTAAAAGGTATGAAGAGGCGTTTCGAAATAGCGATAGCAGATCTAGAGAAGAGGCTGTGCTTCTGCAAGGAATCTTTGGAGCGGTCCGAGAATAAGGTTCAATTTGCCGACTCTTGAATGGCTCCTGGTAATTGATAGAATGTATATACTAAAGACTGACGGTTGTTCCTCTAATTTCTCAACTATGTAGTGGCTTCTGAGCTAGAAACGAATGGTATATATTTGGTAGATCCCAGCTGATCGAATTCGTCCAAAGCGTATGCTGCTGACGCTTCGTTGTGTTGCGTGATATGCTGTCTGTTACGAAAAGAGGAAGGAAAATGATGATGACCAGCCAAAATCAATAAGAAGAACAGAAAGACAACATAATAGAGAACCTAGAAACGAATAGATGCCAGCATACATGTAGTACGTAGAAGCAAAAGACAAGAAGAATAGAATCTAGCAAGTCTGCAAAGTGTGCATGAGATGTCCTACCAAACTTCACGACATGGGAGGGGTGTTGACGCGGCTTCACTCCCCACACATAAATTCAACGACCAATTTGGAGGCTGAAACTGTATTTAGCAGCCTCCACGCAATCAGAGGTGATAGAATAACTAGAATCCCCACTATACCATGCAAATTTACCGGTCGCGTACCCAGATACCAATTGCCGTGTGGACGCTCAGACGTGAACAGCTTGAGGGCATAAGCGTGTCACACAATCTGAAACACCAACTTGCGACATGCAAGAGGTCCCTTGTTGCCTATCAAGGCTGAGGTATGGGTGAACAAACTCGACTGAATATATGATTGGCCATTGTTTTTCGATTGATTGAGCTGAGCAGCTGAGAAATCTTGAGCAGCAAAGGATGGCACAGTGGGTAGCGTATACTCTCTGCCTCTGTTAATTAAAACCCGTGTGGTGAAGGTGCTGAAAATCCCTTTCATACAGAAGCAGATACTCTCATGCAAGCTTCCTGGGAGATACATGTGAGGTGATACAGAGCCAGACTCAAAGTGTTCTTGTGTCGAGTATTAAAGTGTTCTCTCAGAGAGCGAGGTGAAGAGAGGTTGCCAAGTCGGAAGCGCAATTCTTGAAACGACTCATGCTTGGACTTCAACCACCATTCAAGGTGTTAAAACCTAGCATCTACTTACGGCGATGCATTCAAAGGCCATGAAGCACTATCTTAGGAGCAATTTATATTAAAGATAAATCAACAAAATCATATTAAATCAAAAGGCCAGCACTCCAGTTATGCACGGACGAGCTCACTGGATTGCTATGCCTGTCTAAGTCTTGACGAGAAATTTTCTGCTTTCGAAAGCAACTCTTTCACCCATGAAGGATTAGTTCATGTTTGATTGGTATTAAAAGACGAGATTTGAGTGATATAGAGATGAGGCGCATATGGAGAAGTCGAGCAGGATACATCACATGATCACCTCACGTGCTAAAGATGTTCCAGCCGCTGTCTTTCGGCCGTGGAGTGTTCCTGCAGCCTAGAATAGTTTGAGTCTTAACAAGAGACGACATGGCATCGAGATTGAGGCTTTGTGTGGCGATGACTCTCCAATCGCTATGTTCCGAAATGGTTGCCTGAACAGAAGTAAGAAAGTCACTGTCCAGGCTGCACTCAAAATAGAGATTACCCAGCTAGATAGAAAATGCGTCTTTATTATTCAGAACATTATCTATTATGACGGAAGGATAACATCTATAATTAAATCAACTTACAACTTTGCGACTGAGATTGTCTTCTTTGTGTACTTCTTTTTTGTTACATCTCTAATCTACTAGAATCCCTTCCTTGTTCAGAGGAAATATTAATCCGTTTCTTGAACCTGAACTTCAAAATGGATGCATTCGATGCTGCAAGATGGTGAGTTGAACATTTAACAGCATTGGAACTTTGGCTAAAATAAATGTATAGTCCGGTATATGCTGTTAGTATCTTCCCTCTAGTTGCTAGCAGACGACCTATTCTTAAGTATGTCATACTCATTCACGTAAATAATAGTCATTCTTTGGAGCTATGGGATGTAGCCTAGGTGTCACCCTCTGCTGCATTGGTGCTGCATACGGAATTGCAAAGTCGGCGGTAGGTATATCAGCAGTTAGTGTTCTAAGACCAGACATGTTAGTAAAGAGTAGGTCATTCTTCACCAGAACAGCGCACTGCTAAAAACATCTAGACCTCATGCCACCAATCATGGCAGGCGTAGTAGCAATCTATGGCCTGGTAATTTCCGTCTTGATCGCTAGCAAGCTGAATGAGAAATCCGCCCTACATACAAACTTCCTCATGCTCGGAGCTGGTCTTTCTGTCGGTATATGTGGTATTGCGTCTGGCTTCTCAATTGGAATCATCGGCGATGCAGGTGTGAGAGGAGCTGCACAACAGCCTAAGCTGTATGTGGGCATGGTCTTGATTTTGATTTTTGCGGAAGTTCTTGGTAGGTTCATGTCATGCCTTCCCAAGGATGATTATAACATGTGACAGGCATTTATGGAACCATCATTGGAATCATGATGCTGAGCCAATCCGAAAGAAATGTTACCCAGTGTTTTTGATAAGGACAAGACCTTCCTGAATGCGACAATACCATAGCATGATCCTTGGACTATCATTACAAGGATGAACAAATTTAGATCCCAATAAGATGTCTGTCCTATCCCGAACTCACTTTATCAGTATTTTAGCTAGGCATTCCAACCTTTTATTCCCCTTATGGCGAATACCAGAAGCTGGCGTATCAGTTCCCACCATTTGCTCAACAAATCTTTTTGACTAGGAAGCCTACAATCAAGTCCTGTTACTTGTTCGAGGCACCCGCGAACACTCTCTAAATAGGTATTCAACACCTT